AACAGAATTTCTCTTCATTGTAAGCAGGAACAAGTGCTGGTCAAAAAGTTTTTACAAAGGAATACAGTTTAGGGGGAATTACTGTAATTGATTTAGATGGAATATATTGCAAGGTAAGAAGCACCCACCAATTATCATTAGCCACACTGATTCAAATTCTTCATTTAGGACACTGGATGAATATTGTCATGACCTACATAGGAGTAGATATGGATTCCAAATTTCCCTCTATTCTATACTGAAATAGTTGAAAAGACTGGTTACAAATGTGTTAAAGCTTCAAAATGTGGACAGCAATAATGTATGCTTTAATACAAACTGTATCAAACTGGCTGGGTATTATCAAGCACAAAGCTCAGACATATGTTCCAATAGTTTTGCCTGGAAAGCGATTTTGAACTGTGATCATATTTCTGCCTCATGGAAGGGTTAGAGCATGGTGAAATGCGTGTCTTTTTTTCTATTATGTACAGAAATTGGACACAGTATATTATTTGCTTTTACGTGACTTATAAGTGCATAGGCTGTTTACATGTGCAACCCCTCCCCCCACACACTTTCTCAAAAAAGCAAGTGTAGCCTTAATAGTGCAAGTAAACAACTTTCAAAAAATACAAGGAAAATGTTATTACCTTCTATGATTCTAAACTCAGGGTTCCACGTCTCTTCCCCTGGCTCTGATAACATCACCAGTGCAAACACCCGAAAGATCATCCCAGGTTAGGGGGGGTTAGTGACACCATCCATCCTGGCACGATTCACATCCTGGCAGGCCAGTAAAAGAGAGAAAGGTCATATCACTTTTTAAAGTAAAAATCATGTTATAGGTATTTAGGAGAAGTTACAAAAGATTTTAGACACCAGCAATAAAATATTAATCCTTGCAACACTGACAGGACATGTATGTTTTTAAGGACAAGAAACAAATCAAGTAACTTAGTCTCTCCACTTAGCAGATGAGCTGCCATCATTAACTCAGCCCACAGGACATGCTGGTTTTGTTCTTAAGTTTTCTAACAGCTTCAACCACTCTAAATCATCTTGTAAAACTACCAAGTTAGGCTTATCTCAGTATTCCCAGCCCAGGAAGAGAAGCAGCAGAAGGAACCAGAAAGTGAAACTCAGGACTGCGGCTGGGATGGTGAACATCTAGTAACGGTATTAGACCTCATTTAAAAACCTATTTAATCATTTCAAATTCTTCAAAATATAATTCTTTTTCATTATGTTAGAACTTTTATTTACAAGGCTGAGAAATTGGGGATTCCTAATGGTTTTGTCTTCAGAAAGTTGCATTAAAAATCAGCAAGTATGGATGGAAACAAGCTTAAGAAAAGATATAGAAGAGCCTTATCCAAACCTTTAAAAATTCTTCCTTCCTAATGTGTGTCACAGATATTACACACATGCTTTTCAGATAAGCTGGGCACACACTTGTCGACAAGATGATGAAACCCTCCTCTATAGAGGATCCTAAAAAGATCTCTCCCATGGAGATCCACGCACTGCATTTCGCAAGCTGAGAAACATTGAGTTGAATGAATACTTTTATTTTATTTTCCATTAACATACTATTTCCAAAGAAAAGATTGATTCAACCAGATAATCATTAAAATATGTTGATTTGCAGCTACATATTCTCTTTATACTGCATTTGGTACATCTAATGTGTGTGTGTGGGGGGGGTTGTTTAGGTTTTTACATTTCTCACGAAGATTCATGTTCTTATTTTTCACAATAGACAAAGATGAATACCATGCTCATTTACTACATTCATTCTTTATGATTTGTGTCAAGTTGCAGTTTAGGGTAACTGGAAGTCAATTATGAACAAGTGCAGAATTTCAAAAAATACTTAAGATAATCCTAAATGTAAGGACCAATTTATCAGGAGGCACTCCTGAGCAGGGAGCAGATCAAATGTACCTCTTACCACGCCATTCAAGATTTTTTGAACTATTTTATCTTTTCACACCTTTTCCATACTGTTTTTTTTTCTCCACTTCTACTATAGGTGTTTCAATTTTCAGTGAAACAGCCATTGAACTAAAGCAGCTGAATACACTGAAATCAAGAAAACACTACCTCCTCAGCTGCGGAAGAGAAGTGCAACGCAAATCTGTTTTTTATGTCACCTGATAGGTTGTAAATATGAAATATTTATATTAAAATCCATCCTTACCCACTGCGAACACCTGGATGAAATAGGCACGTACAACAAACGCTGACCCTCTGACACGTAAGCCATGGTCCCTGCATTTGCTCTCTGTTTTCAGACTTGCACATCTTCTGGCATTATCAATGCTTATAGAAAAGTTTTCTTGAGTCTCTAGAATATCAGTCATTTGAAATGTCAGTGATAATTTTAGATTCAACAAAAATACCCTATCCTTCCTTCGTGATCAGTGCCGTAAGTCTAGGGTTAGTCTACTTTTAAAAGCAAGTCTTTGGAGGAAAAAGTGATATCCATCGCCACCTTGTGGCTAATAAGAGAAAATACCGATTCTCCAAAAATACCCACCGAGCTGCCTAAGCTCCCCACGACTTTTTGATTAAAGCTGCAACCAGCAGCGTGAGAATTTCCCCCCCTTATTTCTGGCCGTTGTGCTTGAGCGCAACCGCTGAGCGTGCGGGGGCAGAGGGCCGAGGTCCTGCGTTCGCAGCGAGACCCTGACCCCCCCCCCTTCCCGGATCCCTCATGCCAACACGGCCGCGTCAGCCTCTGGGAGCCAGATGCACTAGCACCTCCTCACCCACACTGGCTACCTTCGTTTTCTAGTCAGTTTGCAGTTTTTGCATTACTCTACAAAGCCCCAAATGGCTCATGACCAGCCTGCTCGGCATCATGCTTCGGGGCCACTTGCCCTGCCCCGGGTCAGAGGAAGGACTGACCTTGCCCAAAGGCCTCCGAGAGAGGGAAATGCCAGCGAGGGATTATCTGCTGCTTGGCCTCCCAGGCCCGGCTGGCCCTTCCCGGCGGGGCGAGCCCTGTTCTAGAAGGAGCTTGGCCACTCGGCAACCAGCAACGCCACGGGGATGAGCGCGGTGCCTGGGGCACCCACGGCAGCACCTCGCACACCTCACGGTGGCAGACGACTCCCCATTTACTGGTTTTGCCCTTCCAAATGTTCAGCTGCGGGTGCAGCAGCAGGCTCGACTTGTGACACGCCTCATGAAAGGAAATTTGACTGATAGCTAAGTTTTTTTTTCAGATCCATTATTTACTAAATCTGGCATTTCTCCTGACTGGATCAAAACTAGAAATTACTGCAATCTGCAGTGAATTAAGGATCTAACTTCAAATTCTCCTTAAGCCTACAATATTAAAGGTGGAGACCTTTTGAACAAGGATATATGATTACAAAGCTATTTTGGAAGCTCTACTAATCAGCTCAATGCATGCTTAAACACCTATACCACTGCTTAAAAGAAGCAGTAAAGATAAAAAGGGCTTAATGATTATGAATATCAGACATAATTATGGTCACCATATTAATATTTAGCTTACTGTTTGCACACCACAATCTCAGCAGAAAAGGTAAGTGGGTTGTGCACATAGTTGCAAGTTCTAACGGCATAAAACTAAGGATTTTGTAGACTAATTTATGTAGTGCTAGTAATAAATACATCTTTATGTACGTTAACTGTCTCTATGCATGTTAACCAAGTCTTTAATTCATATGTCATCATCCCAAATTCTCTCCACCTTTGTTTGCTGTCAACAAAGCACTGACATTTAAAATTAGTTACCAAAAGAGGATAGTACTGAGTTAACTGCAAACTGTAATTAAAAGCTGTTCCTCCTTCGCTCCATTCCCCTCAGACCTCAGAGATTATGAATGTCGTGTGGAAAATGCCTCAGAAATATCTGGCAGCATGAGAAGTCTGGGAATCTTACTGCAAGGTAAGGAGTCCAAGGAAGAGGAAAGCCATCGGGGCTGTTAACAGTAAGGTCAACATTTCCAGGTGTCTCAGCCAGTCCTCAGCCACCTGATGAAAAAGGATGCAAAAGTGAAAAATTTGGTCACACGATATTTTAGCTCCATTTTGCTAAAAACTAAGGAGATTTCTACAGTATTCTCCGATGAGTTGTTGTCATTTGCAGTCATTAATTCTGCACAAAATCTGGATTTTTCAGCCAACTATTGCAGCAAGGGAAGCAAAGTTATCACAGAACCGCAAAGCTGACCTTGACAGAACTGCCCTTGCCTTGTCACTTGGGGATATTTGCTTTGCTCCAGCTTTCAGCATCCAAGTGCCAAGATTAAGAGCCTCAGTTTCAAGCAGCCTTCCAAGTCCTCAAGGGCAACAGGAATCCCAAACGGAGATGTTTTTCTTTTTTTGTCAACTATTCCAGGAGTTGCCTGTAGGTGGTTATGTTGCTATAAAGTTAGATGGTGTTAACACTGTCCTCCAGGGTGTGAGAATTTATTGTACATTAAGAACAAAGCTAGTCCAAAAAAAAAAAAAAAAGAAAACCAATGGGATCACAAATAGAGGAGCAAACAGAAAACCTGCTATTTTCCTCAACGTAACATTAACACATCGCCGTCTCTGAAATTCCTTTACGGCAGTACATCCATCCCTCACAGCTAACCCTGCTGGCCTGAACCTTCTGCAAGAGAAATTGCAAATAAATGAAGAGAAGCCATTTCTGATGTTTATTTCTCACTTACCCTTTTTCAGCCCCTGGGACAGCAGCAACCAAAGGGAACCTAAGCAGAAACCAAAAAGTCATCACTCTGACATGCTTTAGTCTTCAGAGCCCCATGCATGTAAATCTGCTCTACTTAGAGAAGGAACATGGAGATGGGAGAGACCAGGCAGAAGAGAAATGCACCGTGCAGAGCCTGAAAGTCGTCACCAGTGCAGACAGGAGAGCTGCTACTGGCCACAGCTGTGTTTTACTAATAGACAACAGAAAAAAGTTTCAGACCAAATTTATTCTTACAGGAAAAGGTAAAAAGAAAAATTTCAATCTAGCAAATACCTGTTTATGTAGATTGAAGGAGGACAGTCTTCAATTTCATATAGGTCATACCTTACTGGTTATTAAAAACCAAGTATTTGTATCTTTCTATTAACAAAAAGATGAACTAGGAGAGAGTAATGGTCAGAATAGTGACTAACACTACCGAAAGTTTAAGATTTTTAGAACAATTTCATGCTGTTTGCTCTTCTTTTGGAAGGGCAGGAGGTATTCTGCAAATGTAGTTTCCAATATTAATACATACAGAAAATTCTTTACAGTAACGCTTCTTGCCAACTGTGTCAGCATGCAAGTAACAGCAGCCTTCAACTGCCTTTGGTTCTTAAGTTTAAACAGAAACAAACATCTCATTTTAAAACGTCTTTCCATTTGCAGTGTTTCTGGTAGGGTTATCAAATTGCGTTATGACAGCAAAGCTGCCCAAGCTGAAAGTTTTTGCAGAGGGTCTGACCGTCCTGCACGTGCGCCAAGATAACCAGACTTCAGAGGGTAGGTACCAATTCTCCCTGCAGAGCCACAAAAGTAGCATAGCAATATACGCAATGAAGGAAAAAGATCTTGGCTTTTGCATGCACAGCTTAGCCCTAGTTCTCCCAAACAACAGTTTCTTTAAATAACTATTGCTTCTATCAATAACTGGGTTTATTGCATAATCCAGTAAATCCAGATCTTTTGCAAATCCTTGGCTGTAATGAGAAAACAGTATCTTAGCACTGACTTTCACAAGAAGCTACCAGGTTCAAGCTCACGGGTTCCATACTAGGGCTTCTAGCCTCCCTTAAAAACCTCACCTGACTTCATCGGGAAGTTACAAGCCTTTGCTATGCCTGCACTTACACACCATCTTCTTCTGGGGACAAACTGGGACCCGAAAGGTATCTGAAATATTTTAAGGTAAGAAGTTTCTGAGAGTCTAGAGAGAGTTACAGCTTCTTCTGAAAGACTGTAGGAGACTCCAAGTTGTTTCTCTCCCCTGCTCCATCTTACCTAACCCAACCTAACCAAAACGAAGAAAACGTTGAACTGTCAAAGACCTGTAAAAACTTTTGAAATAGTCTTCTTTCTGTGTCTCAATTTAGAGGGAATTCCATCCACAAATGACAAAGACATGCTGATCAGACAAAGACAAAGTATCTACATTAAAGTGTTCATCGCTTGTATCCTGGTAACGCCTGCGATAGCCTATATCATATTTGTTATATGTGAATTTCCCTGCTTGGTAAGTTTTTGAGCATGACAGCTTCTCATCTCAATCCTACATACTCACCCAGAATATAGCCTCATAAACAGGACCAATGAGTTGAAATAGGTTTACCAAGTTCTCAGGAAGGGAAAACAAGTATTCACAGATATGGACAGGAGCTTTGTTTTCAGTAAGGTGCGACATGAAAAATACATGTCCTGAGTTTTGCACCATATTATGCTCACCACGACCATAAGCTCGCAACCACATGTGTCATTTTGCTATGTCAGGACACTGCTCTTCCTTCCCAACAGAGATTAGCAGCAGAATAATGCACTAGTTCCCTGGAAACCCAGCCACTGTTTTATGGGAGGCATGTTTGACTTTTGGTTGCAAAATTAATACTATCAATGTGAGGCAATTCTGTCAAAAAGCAGCCCCAGAACAATGTTATGCTCTTGTGCAAGGCCAGCTGTGGCCAGTTGGGGTAGGCACTCCTGAAGCCAGAGGAAGAATAGTTTAGGGGTGGAAGAGAATAGGCAAAACTTTCAAAGGACAGGCTAAATGCACTCCCTCATTTGCTTGGCCGTAACTTAAACTATTAAAAGTGATGGTGAGGGTGTACATGCAACAGGGAGAACAAAACATATCAGACTGAGCTACGGTGATTCACTGTGTAAAGCTACATTACTGTGATGCCTAAACATGTACAAGTATCGATCATGGCCCTTCCAGAAAAAAATAGCCTGTTACTAGTTTTCAGCAGTTGGTTTTCTTCACCACCCTCATGCACAGCTAACTGCTTTTGCTTCTTTCCCAAGTGCTCATGCCATGGCTGGATCAAGACACACGTCGGTGCGCAGAGCAGCAGAACCAACCTGCCTGCAGCCTCCCTCAGGGTGCGTCACCAAACAGAAACATTTGTAATCCAGTTTCTTCAGGATATAGGACAGAAGGCATTGCAACGTCTTGTTTGAGTCTCAGCCTCCCTTCCCCGGGCACCTACTGGTCACCTTCAACCAAATTTGACCAAAGGATAATGGGCCCCAAGGACAAGCAAGTTCCCGAGCGAAAATCAGTGATGGGGTAGTGAAGAGGGAGCCAAATCTCTCCCGGGGGAAGCTGTATGGGCTCAGCAGTCCCCATGCTGGCTGGCCATTCGGTAGTCAGCCAACAAGCCTCACATACCTGCTGGCCAAACAGCATACGCAGCACGTGCCATCGCACCAGCGGTCCTGAGCGGAGGCAGGAGGGAACCAGTGGTACAGGAGGGAAGCAGGGAAGCTGGGACTATCAGCATGGGGAGGACTTATGAGGCTAGTTTGGGTTCATTTGTTCTGTCTTCATGAGGTAACCTGGTTTTAGGTGCATTTAAGCAACAATTACTGTGTTCAAAGATAGACCTATCCCTCCCCCTCAAAAAATTAAGTATCACCATGGTCCTGGAAATGCATTATTAAGGTGCCTTTTCATGAAGAAATGATTTAATCTTGTGCTTCCTACCCCATTAAGTGACCTTCCAAGGCTGTACCCTACTCCCACCTCTCACAGTGAATTGGGATCAAGTTACTTAAGTTCAACATATCCATTTACTTGTCTGTCACCCTGGTCTAGCAATCACCTTGCGAGACTAGAGAGCTTAGCTCTGTCAACACACAAGAAGCCTTCTGAATATTAAACATACAGAACAAACCACTTGAGAACATTTAATTTGCAGAAATGATCGGTAAATAATTTCAAATAGCAAATGAAAATCACCTCATTTGTTAAAACTTCTGAGAAGAAAAAAATAAAATGTGAATACATTATTCATTACAGATTATCCACTTAGATCTTCTTGGAGTGAAACTGCACTGTGAGAAATGTGTTGTAGTGAGAGGTTTGGAAATTGGACTGAGACCCTTAAGAGCCATTTCACACAGGCCATTGAACAGCCATCAGGTGGTAACACCTCTGGGCCTCCTCCAAGCTGAAAGCCATCAGAACAGACTTCAGGCAAAAGGTTTTTTATCTCATTGCCACCTCCAGGAGACATCAGGCTTACTGTAACTTCTGTAGTTCAGTTCAGCCAGGAGATGTCGCACCACTAAATTACTGATATGGGAAACAACAACACACAAGCACTGGTATAACACTCTAGGAATAGGGTTGTTTATTACTCCTGATGAGTATTTTTCTTCCTTTGCCAGAAGGAAGCATCAGGCCAAGAGCCTTACAAGGAAAGATTCAAAATCATTGTCATTCATGAGACCTACCTGTGAAAAGCTGCCGGCCTCAGAGGCACACTCTTTTCATCAGGGGAGGTACATCAGCTTTCTCCTGACCCCCTCCTGGACACAGCAGAGCGAACAACAGCAGTTTACACCACCACGAGTCAAGCCATTGCAGACTGGAACGAGACTTATGTTGGAAGAAATGTTTACCTGGCTAGGAGCAATCAGGTTAATTCACTTAGAAGGCAACTGCTGTGAAGATAGCCATATGTTGATTTCTTCCATCAAGTACCTGGAATCATATTTTAGCTCCTAGAATTAGGAAATACCTGTTGGTGAAAGCAATAAAAATTCCAGTGACATTTCAAATTCTGCCTCCCCAATTTTTTAGTTTTTTCCTCATGATTTTTTCACACGCGTCTAGGGCCTGGGCAAAAGGGAAAGGAAATAATTTCCAACATGTTACTCTCGTCTTAAACAGACTGTTAAACAGTTCAGACAAGAAGTATATAGAATACCAGATCTCCTACTCCAGCATCAACAGGAATAACGCAGATATTACTCTTTGAGATAATACAAATATTAATCTTTGAGCTTTAGCCCTTGTCTAGATCTGAATAGGTGCACATTTTCAGGTGCTGATACAAAATGAACGTCTGATCTATTTGCAATGTATTTATCTCTTCTTAAACAGACTGTTAAACAGTTCAGACAAGAAGTATATAGAATACCAGATCTCCTACTCCAGCATCAACAGGAATAACGCAGATATTACTCTTTGAGATAATACAAATATTAATCTTTGAGCTTTAGCCCTTGTCTAGATCTGAATAGGTGCACATTTTCAGGTGCTGATACAAAATGAACGTCTGATCTATTTGCAATGTATTTATCTCTAATGCCGTCTTCAGCTCTCAGATACAAACTGCCAAAGGCTACATCTGTCTGCTCTGGAGAACAGCTCTCATCTGAAGTTCCCAGGCAAAGGATTAAATGCTTCAGAATCTGCATAAACGAGTACGAGCAGCCTTCAAGGCTCCCAGTGAACAATACAGCATTTCCCCCCAAGTGATCTAGATCCTGCTCATCTGAATCAACGTCATGTGTTCTCTGAGGCGGCACCAGAAAAAATTCACACAAAATTAAAATTGCACAACAGCATAAAAAAAGGGTGCACTGGAACAGTAATGACAGTGGTTCTTTTCAGAAGAGGGGATTAGCACCACATACAGTATCACTGAGTGGAGCACTGCCCATGCGGGGCATTCCAGACAGGTAGAGTTTATTGCAGAACAGGGCCTAAGTACAAACAAGTATTGGAAATTCATGAAATACCAGTAACATTTGCCAGAACCAGGGCATCATAAACATACGCAGAATCTACCTAATATTTGTGCTAAAGAACATTTTAATTATCAGCATTACTATTACAATTACACCAGGCTCAGAAGGAGTACTACGTCCCCTCAAGAACACAGTACAGCATATGAGGCTACTGTAGAGGTCATGAGAGCTATCACGAGATGTGTATTACCACTGTGCCAGATTGGCTATCCAGACTGTCTCATGCAAAAACAAATGGCTCTTTAAACAATGCCACTAGCTAACTCATTCCTGAGCTTTAGGGTTTCACGCAACGCAAGACTTGGCGAGCTAAGCCCTATCCAAAGCCCTCTGTCAGGATGTCCTCAACAAGCCCACAAGTGCACCTAGTTCACAAAGACATTCAAAGTGTACATGGGGGACAGCCACAAAAGACCTCACAGGCACTAGCCTGCAAACAGACAGGGGAAGGACGAAAGATCCCTTTCTGTATAAATGATTTAGACATACACAGACGTTTGTGCAAGTTCATGAGATGACAGGAGATGGAGACACATTACACATCACCTACAGCTTCTAAGTTACTTGTGAAAAGCAGCAGCTTCAAAAGATCACTGCTGGGGAGCGTCCCAGGCAGGGAAGATGAACAAGATGCTCCATTCTTCTCCTCCTGGTCCCTGGACGCTGACTGCCACCACTGCCTATGCTGCTGTCGCAGGCCACCCTCTCTTCTGTCTACCTGTTATGATCTTTCTTACTCTTCTCTAACGTTTTTCCCTCGTTCATGCTCACATCTTCCTTCACCGCGCTACCCTCTGTAACTCCTCCCAGTTCTAGCTCATGAGCCACATAATCCAGGCCAAGTCTGACACAAAGGGCAAACAGCTGCCGGGGGAAGACCTGCAGAAGAAGATGGTGGGGTTGCAGCCAGTTGCTAACAATCACCCCATCACTGCTAGGAAAATAATTACTGCTACATGAGAAACTATTAATTCCTTACTATTTTACTGCTACAAGACTTATTTGACATATACTTGCATGAGACACGGGGGCCTTGCAAACCTGGAGGGACAGTATCTTGCTTCAAACTTCTAATGAAGTTAAGTCACTTTTTTTCTCCCTCTTCCAGTCACATGCATGGCAGTCCCGTCCCTCTTCTGCACTTGGAGCGTTCTTGTCACTCTTCTTGGCATGTGGCCTTGATCAGGCAAGGCAATTTTCTTCCAGCATGTGCAAGCTCTGACTCGTGGGGGCCAAGTAATGCCAACCTCCAAGGCCGCCGCTGCCTTGTCTTTTCCCACAGCAGGGAATTCGAATTGCTAGCACATCTCATCTTCTTAGCCCTGCTGCTGGTCACATGAAGAAGCCCTAGCTGGAAGGTACAGATGAAGTAACGCTCGCACTCAAAACCCACAAACTGCTATAAGGCTAGGAGCCCCTTTTAATTTCCAGCCTAAACTTACTCCTGGTTGAACGATATTTGTTACTGTGCCAATACTGTCTTTTAGCTTGTAACAGCGTGGTCCCCTTTGGCAGGGACACACGCTCCCCACAGGCTGTGGGGCTCGCACCCCCCGCGGCGCGGGGGCACCCACACATCCCCTCCAAGCGGAGGCGTACACCTACCCCTACACCCCCCCCCCTCCAAGCTGAGGCGAACACCTACACACACACCCTCCAAGCTGAGGCATACACCTACACACACACCCTCCAAGCTGAGGCATACACCTACACACACACCCCCTCAAGCTGAGGCATACACCTACACCCACACACACACCAAGTTGAGGTGCACACCTACACCCCTCCAAACTGAGGTGTTCACCTACACCTACACACACACACACACCCCAAGCTGAGGCGAACACCTAAACCTACACACCCCCCATAGGCTACAAACAGGTGCACACCCTATAGGCTGTCTGTACATATATATACACGCCCCCCTAGGCTGTATGTCTGTACATAAACACACAGCACACACAACACACACCCTCGCGAGGCTGTAGGTACCTATGTACACACACACACACACACACCGAGGCTGTACACAGCTACATACACACACACCAGGCTGTAGGCACCTACCCGGACACCACACACCCTGGGCTGTGCACACACACACACCACACACACGCAGAGACCCTGCCGGCTGTACAACACACCCGCAGAGACAGACAGACACACCCTACTGGCTGTACGTACAGGTACACACACAGCCGGGACACAGACACTCTCACACCACCCAGCAGGCCCCGCC